CCAGCGGAAAAGGGCGGACACCAGCAGTGACAGACCTGGGAGACAAACGAATAGAAATGCTACATGGCCAGCGGAAAAGGGCGGACACCAGCAGTGACACAAAGGGCGGACACATCTGAAGAAAGAATTGAGAACCCCCAACAGTAAACTGTTTGGGGAAAAAAACATGTTTGGTTTCAATAGGGTCACTCTCCATGTCAAAATCATTTTGCGATCCCCACCTGGTTTCTCCGATGCAGCATTGTGCAGGACGTCGTTGACCAGGTAGAATCTGCGCAACAACTCAGAATAAAACACACACAAACACAAACACCTGAAACTTCCGTTTGGGTTGTTCAACATCGATAGTCGCGTCAGTTTCCCTGCCCAAAGGTGAACATTCAAGCGAGCAAACTGCTACCCTAGTTGTCAGGGTCAAACACCTAGCAAACGGGTTGGGTGGCAAAAACAAGTTTGGTTGACCGTTTCCGTGCCACCTAATCATATTTGGTTCCCAAACCAACAGAGGTTAAGTGACCTTATAGGACCCTACAGAGGTACCTATATGAAGGCTAAATGGAGGGTGTGTGGAGAAAGGGGGTCAGCAAAAATCGCTTTTACGAAGTTAGTGCATCAAAAATACCTTCCACGAAGTTCTGCGAAGGTTTCTGGGATTTCGTTGCAGTCAGTTTTCCTACTGGCCCACCATTCCACAAACTGTCCACGAATAGCCTTGGGTTCTACGAATGTCCCGCGCCTTCCACGATGTTAGTAGAATAGGTGTTTGCAAAACCCTTTCTGTGCACTACCCTTCCGTTTGCCTCTGACTGTAGGATAGTCTATAGGAGTCTTCAACCTCTGCTGGAAATGTACCCCACAAATAAGCGCAAATAAGTGACCTGCAAATGATCCCATTGATTTCCCAGGTAGCTCCCACTCTCCCACGACGTCTGTCGCGGATCGTCGGTCTTTTTCAGTTTCTCAAAGGACCAACCGCGACGAAAAGAACCGCTCAGCCGACTTGTTTGAGCTCGGGTTTGCTGTCAAGGAAGCACGGAAAACGATGGCCCAAATGAGGATTTCCCAAAGATCCAAAGGGAAAATAAGAATCGCCCTAAGCAAAACCAGGCCAAGGGGAGGATGCAATGGGACCAGGGGGTGGAAAAGGGGTGAACAAAAAAAAATCAGCCGCTTTGAAGTGGAAAAATGCAAGTAATCCTCCGAACTTCCTGGGTATGGATTAATACGTCATTGGGCCAAGGCAAATCCGAAAATAACGGAGCTGAAGCGACACCCTGAAACCTGCTGCCTCGCCAGTGCCTCGACTGAAGGGAGGGGCTCTGAGAGGGCACTGCACATGCGCCTGAAAGCAGCGCCAAAGCTCCATGAGGTCTTGGAGGTCACCCCGACCGTGCCCGAAAAACAAGGTAGCGCCTTTTTAAGGGGCCGTGGAGTGGAGGAAACTGTTTGGATGAGGTTTTGATCGAAATTGTTCCGAAACCACAGCACCACACACCAATGATTGAAAAGTTGTGCTTTGCTCATTTTGTTTTCCCAAACAAGGTCCGCCCATATTTTGGAAAAAAATGTGTTTTCGTTGCAGTATGGTGCCCTTCTTTTTTGAAGATGACGACAAAATGTACACAAATTACTCCACTTCATCATTTCTATGATAACCCTCAACGGCAAGAAGCACTAAAAACATCATATCATGTCTCTTCATGGATTCAAAAACTGCCCCAAGCTTAGAGTGCTCAACACCAAATAACCATCGAGGTGTCGAGGTGAGCCACTTCGGGATGAAGCGGTCAGAGGGACACCAAATAACCATCGAGGTGTCGAGGTGATCCACTTCGGGATGAAGCGGTCAGAGGGGGGGGGTCTGAATTGAAAAATCAATTCTAAGGGGGGGGGGGGGGCTGTATTGAAAAATCAATTCCAAGGGGGGGTTGAATTGAACTATCGATTATTAGATCCGGAGGAGCCCACACTTGCTTCGCAAGACAAACTCAAGGTATCCCTGAAGGGCTACCTTTCGTGACAAGTTGGTGCGATCCAATCGGAAGCATGGTTGGCCGTGCCGCATCTCAGCGAAGCTGGGATGCTCCACAATCTTCAGGACCTTGCGCCATGCTGGGGTGAAGGTCGACCTGGTGCAGAAATTCACTCCACATGTATAGGCAATCCCACGTCAGCGATGGCCGATTGATCGACGAACTCCAAGTGCGCGCGTGCAACTGCTCCGCGTCCATGTCCTTCAAGATCTTGTCCCCCTTGACAGCATACTGCTGAAGGTGCACGGTCACCACATGTCACGACGCTGCCACCACCAGCTTCTGCCGCTTCACCGGCGAGAACTTCGCCTTTGCCTTCGCTGCCTCCGACATCTGTCTCGGCGCTACTTTTCCAGCAGCGTATACGCTTCTGGCGCTGCTCGTCACCAGATGAGCCGGTCTAGCTTCGCCGACATACATTATGGTGATTGTGATCTGGATCTTTGAGAAACTCTCTACAGCATGCTCTTCGGATTTGATTCAAATAGCAATAAATTAAACTCTCTACAAAATGATTTGAGATACATTCTCTACAAAACGCTGTGGAAGACTCGACTCAAATAGCCCGAAAAATATCTAAAAACATGAGAGACCTTCAACTTTTTCTCTTCCAAAAGACATGTTGAACTTGGAAAACTTAAAACTAATATCAACTAATTGCTGGGCATGGACGCCACGTTTTTGTCTACAAAATGGCTGGTGTGGGTTGGGCCCAACAAAAAAACCCTGTACAAAATGACGTGGAAAGCAAAAAGGAGTGCCACTTTGTAAGGTCAATAAAATGAAATCTCTACAAAATGATGATAGCTCATGATAGCTCTAAAGTGGCCTCAAGCCCACCATTTTAGAAGGAAGCAATTAACGGGATATAACATAACGGGATCTAACGGGGATTTAGTAGCGCTGAGTCTGTTCTTCTAAGTATGATATTATGTTGAGGTGGCTTCAACAGAGAGGGCAACAGTGTTGGCTTTTGCAAGGCCCTGAAGCTTTTTTGGTCCTTCCAAGGCACCCTCCGGGTTGAAGTCGTGCAGTTCCTGCTTTGCGACACAAACGGCCAGTGGCCTTCCAAAGATCATCTTTCTGGTTTGCTCACATAGCTCATCATCCGGTCTTCGTTGGAGGCAAAAGTTTCCATCTCCCGGCTGAACGAAGAGGCATGCAGGAGCTAGAACAGACCAAGTCAGCGGCCAACGATCTGAGTCTAATGGGTGAAGTCCAATCAAGGATCACGAGGAAACGAATGCAACTGCAAAATGCTGTCCAGGTACCACGCGTCAACAGTTAAAATACGACACCAAATAGGATCAGATGAAGAGGGAATGTAGCACAAACGCAACACATACGAAAGAGCAACCAAAGCTTCAACACCAAGTCCCATGATCTGTTTGAACTACGAGCCAAAGCCGTCGACAAAGCGAATGTATCCTTGAATGTATATAATACAAACCGAACGTTATTGCAACCCCACACCACCCCCACACCACCCAAAGCCGTCGGCACCTATATACCTTCTCATTGATCCGAAATTCGAAAGTTCCTCTGGGGTTGCAAACAACGCCGTTGGCAAAGAGGCTACTCCGGTGGTGGTAACGAGTGATCGTGGTTGGGAGAAAAGGATCAGTTCTTTGGATCGTTTCACGCCAAACCTGACAGGCATTTGCGGCTACTTGTTGAGGGCTGAGTCAATGGCCAGAATTTCTGGGGTTTTCAGTGGGCGCGAAAGCCAAAAGGACCAGAGAGGCTCACTTGGACATGAAGGAGTTTATTGGGAGGTTGCACCTGGACCATTTCAAGTACCTTTTCAAAGCAAATAGAAGTAGTGACATACACAGCACCTCCCGTGATTTTGTGTTCCTTCCAATACCCACCAAACTCGGTGATGCTGGCAAGCTTGATGTTCTTTATGGTCATGGCCTGCCTTTCAACGGTGCTTTGCGAGGAGCTTGCAAGAAAGTAGTTCCCAATGATTAATCTTGCTTCATTTCGCTTCTTAGCGAGAGCTTTCTTGCAACCAAAGAGCTTCGGGAAAAAAGAAACAGTCCATCCCGAACAATACACCTAAGACTGGAATATTGACCTTGACCCCCTCCAATAATCTCGCTTTGTCGATCATTACATCTTTCACTCGCATGCTTTGGGTCGTTCTGAGTCATTGCCCCTTCACTGCCTCCGCTTCAGAGACCCATTGATAGGTTTTCACCAGCCTCGAGAGCAAAGCAGCATGGCTCTCCGCACGATCCATGCAAAAGGCCATTGCGCGGCCTTGCACGGCTCAGAGTGGGGAGCACCCAAAAATGCTCTGCTCGCCCAGCAAGGAAGACGGATTGTCATGTGTTCGACCTCGCAAAAAAAAAAAGGAATATCTCACCTGGAAGAGACCCACATGGAACCTGATGACGAGACAACTTTTCCTTTACAACCACTAGTGGTGTTCAGGTTCCACGTGGATCTCTTCCGGGTATCTCACTGGACATGGCCTGGATGTCGATTTGCTCAAGGACCCAGAAAGAACATGAAAGAACACATTCCCCAAAGGAGGATTCATCCATATAGGGCCTATAGGCCTATAGGGGAATATCAAAAATCACCCAGTCAGCAAAACCTGGATGTAATGCTTTCGGATTCCTTGGATGATATGAGTTTCCTCCTGCATGAAGATTCCTTGTCACACATACACACCAAGCAACAACTGCACCTGCGGAACTTAAGTCAAAAATCAAACAACATCATCATTCTTCCATATTTTTCCACCACCAAGTTTGGATGGTTTATGGACACACCCTACCATCCCATCTCTTTCCATACACACTCACCCTGGACCATCACTTGGATCATCTTATCATCATCATATCTCTACACTATTTATTGGGGAGGTAAACAGCAGGTTACCAAGCTGGTATCCATGTTGAAACAGCACCATTCCGCATGAGTCGCAGGCACACACGCTGTGCCGAGGCACCGATGGAGCAGCGACGAGTGTTGAGCTCCCCTAGTAACCTCAGCAGAAACCCATGACAAAGGAGCGTATTCAGCGTATTGAGCATTGGACGGATTCAGAAAATATAAACAAGATCAAGCAGTTTTTATTCAAACAGGTAGAAAGGGGCATAGTTCTGAAGACCCAGGTATATACATGTATATATAACTATACAGTTACAGTAGATTTGGGATTCACCAGAGTTTGTCAAACGTATAGCTTTAGGTCGCTGCTTGTCTGCCAAGTACGCGCGTTTAAACATTTTTAAACTGTCCACTGCGACACCTCCAAAGCACATGGCAGTGGAGGAACACAACCAATCATCTTCATAGCCTAGAAACCCACCAAACCACCCTTACAAACGACCTGAATGAATAAGAGTGGCAGCCATCTCCTTCTCCCACCACAACCCTAAACCTCCCGCGTCCCGCGTCGTTCCGTGGGTCCGGATGTCTCGCTGTCTCGCTGGGCACGCCGGACAAGGTCAAGCCTTCCACGGCCTCTTGGACGCTGCTATTCATCGGCCCTGGCACCTGTGCGGAGAGTGCCACCCCACCGCCCAGCCGGGCGGAGAAAGAACGAAGGCCGCGTGGTGTAGAACGCCATGGGTGAGCTCGGCCTGGTCAGGCCGAGCCGTGTGGAAAATGACTGAACCAAACTTTCCTCACATGCTCTTGTTCAGCGAGGAAACCAATTCCCCAAAAGGGTTAAGGTATATGTTAAGGTTATCCAATTTTCCCGGGTAGCCCCATGAAAGATTCATTATGATTACCATCGCTGATTACCCAAAGAAGTCGACGGCAGGCTTTGGTAAGCAGTCCGGACTCGGCGAAAAGCTTGGCCACTCAACGGCTTCAAGTAAGGCTGTGCTACGTGAAGCAACTTCTCGCATGAGAACTTGCGTGAATTGTCTTGGCATCCCGCATCTTTAGAAGCAAAATGAAGCAAGCGTTGAACTGCCAGGAGTCTCAAAGTTTCGTACCTCGCCAAACATGGCACACATATATACTGAATAGTATATAAAGTATATGTGCAAACAGATCTTATCTTCGGCCGCCCGGCCGGGTCATGTCCCATCTTTTCGCTACGACCATTCAGTCTGTCCGATGGGTCCACCGTGGACGGTTCGGCCGAACCGACCAAGTGGCCGGCGAAGTCCGTCCGTCCACTCGGCCCTCGGTGACCGAGACGAAGACGTGATCGGAGTCGCCACAGACTTCGGTCGGTCACAACGAGAGCCTGGAGAAGCTGACTTGGTAGGAGTCCAATCACTATCTTTGGAATGGTCTTACTATATATACACATATAGGTGGGGCTCATTATAGTCTTTGGACTTCAAGACTCTGGCTTGCATGGGTTGGGCTTTGCGGAGCTTGGGTGAAGTGGTCCAACCACATCCCACCGGCATTTCGACCCTTCCACACACCACCACCACCTTCTGAACCGGCCAGGCTTGCCCCACCAGCCCACATGGCCCACGTGACCCAGACCGAGGGCCCCAAGGGCCCCGAGTCACCTTGGGCATGGCACCACCCGGCTCGTGGCAAAGCGCCACCACGGCATCGTGGCCTGCCGGAAGGACCTGTCAGGCAATGGAAGACTAGACTAGAATTAGATCTATATATTGGGTTCGTTGATTTGAAGCGGGAGAGAAATCACAAATGCTCCTACGTAGTACAGTATATAGTTAGAATGGTCAAGAATGCTGCCAATGCCAGGCTCGGCAGTTATGCTTTTGAACAAGTGTAGGGGGTTCCTGTGACTTCTCCTGGGCATCTCACAACAGCTTGTAAGCCACCAGGTGAGAAAACAACACCTGGTTAATACCAGGACCCTCCTGTCGGGGTGCCCTGTCTGGAAGCCTATAGGTAGTGTGGGGTAGTCCAGCCAGGACACCCCTTAGAGGGTCCTGGTTATGTGTGAATCTTTTTGGGATAAAGACAGACCCTTGTCCAGTCGAACTTGCACGACTTCCTTACACTTGCCCATCACGAGTCTTTAGACATAGTCGACTCTCAGACCTTCCATTGGGGGTCGGGCCCGCCAAGGTTCGCCCTTGCTTCGGCCCCGCACAGTCCAACGAAACCAGCCCACCCTGCGCACCCTGCGCACCCTGCGCACCCTGGAGCCGATGGGAGTCGCACGAGCTGCCTATATGGTCCGTACCGTTTCGTTTCGGTGGGTGTTTGGAGGGTCCAGTCAGACCGAAGCGGTTTGGAGGTACAAGACTTGGAGGTGCCCGTCCGCCACCGGACCGGACGATCGGGAAGAAGAAGAGATGGACCAGGAGTCTGGGGGTTCCCAGCCAGTGGCGGCTATCGAAGAGCACAGGTTGATGGATGACATCTGCATGCAGAATTCAGAATACTCTCTTGCCAAGTGCCAAGTGAGGTTGTCATCACGTAGAATCACATTTCTAATACTTCTACATAAAGTCACTGTCAATCCATCCGCAACCTTCATCGCTGGAGTCTGAGGTTTCTCGCCACTCCTGCCACTTCCCATCAGCTACAAATTGCCTTGGATCTGCAGAATTTGTTATCATCGCTGGGGATCTCGGGGTTACTTATTGACACCTAACGCAAAGGAAAGAGCCATAGAGGCTCTGACCCGAGAGCTCTTGGAGGACTTGTTCTACTGTACCCCAAAGAATGCCTTCCGAACTGACGCGGAGCCCATCGCCCAAGTAAACAGAACGCCCCAAATGTGGATTCCTGCAGACCCTCGCCTGAAAATATGGCCGTAGCTGAGCTTGCTTCACTCCAAACTTTGAGCGCAGCACCGAATAGCGTTCGTGCCTCGAGAGGAACGATAGAAGAACGGCACTCCCCGAACAGCTGAACCGAACGGAGGGTCCCGAGACCCTATAGGCATCCCAGTACTTTCTCAGAAGGTACTTGGACCCTCCAGGAGACATACATACAACAGTGCTTCCAATTCACCGTATCTCAAAGGGTGGCAGTGGATCCCTAGGGCTGGTGGAGCGAATTGGAGTGAAACCCGTTTTGGTTCCGAATTGGATTGGAAATGACATGAAGTGACTGTAGATGTGAATATCAAGTTTGGCGAATCATTCTTCAGGTTTTTAAGCAGAACTCCTAACTCGTCCAGTTCCATGTGATTGGGTTCTTTTTGCAGTCATTTTTCCCAAAAACATCTCCGATGCTTGGGTTCTCGTTTAGTCGTTAGTGCCGCGGAAGAGCGAGACAAAGCGTACGTTGTCGGGGACGGAAGATGGATGTGGAGGTGGACGGAGTTGGGAAGGCAAGAGAGGGGAAGGGAGCGAGACGGGAGGCGTATGGGTGGGACGGGGCTGGGGAGGGAAGATGGAGGGGAGCGAGACGGGAGGTGCATGGGTGGGGACGGGCGATGGGGCTGGGGAGAAAAAGATGGAGGGGAGCGAGACGGGAGGACGGGGCTGGGGAGGGAAGATGGAGGGGCGAGATGGGAGGTGCGTGGGTGGCGACGGGGCTGGCCAGGGAAGACGGAGGGGAGCGAGACGGGAGGCATGGATAGGGGGCGGAGCGAGACGGGGGAGCGCTGGGGAGGGAAGATGGAGCGGAGCGAGACGGGAGGTGCATGGGTGGGGACGGGGTTGGGGAGGGAAGATGGAAGGGAGCGACGGGAGGCGCATGGATGAGCTGTCCGAGTTCAAAAAGAAGAGACATGTGCGGCAGCAGCTCTTGAAGGGTTTGTCACCGTGTGATGTTTGTTTGACTTGAGGGTTTCGGTCATGAACTGTTTTAACCTGAGTGACCTCTAGCTGCAGCAACAGAAGCCACGCAAATTCATATACAAAACGTTCCGGCAGTCCAAAACGATGCAAGGAACGAACAACTCATAGCAAGCATCGGAAATTCTCAACTCAGCATCCAGCCTGGCGCCGTGCAGAACAGCAAACACAAGGGCCAAAGCCTATCAGGGCACGAGTTCGCACATTGCTAACAACATGCGAAACCTGACCGCAAGAGTTTTCCAGCCGCGCCAGCGCAAAGAGTAAGAGGGCTGCAACCACGATGAAACTCATCACAATATGATCCTGCAAAAACATGAAGAAATCATCAAACTGAAAAATTTTCCGACGCAAAACGTGGACTGCGTGTCTCCCCCTAGAGGCCTCCTGTCGCATACCAGCTTTGTACGCCTCCAACAGCTCCGATGGGTCACGCATTAGTGGCCCATTCGGCCTTGAAGCACTGGAAAAGCGTTGCATGGTTGACTGAACCACTTTTCCAAGTTGCACAAGTTGCGGGGCTGGGGAGGGAAGATGGAGGGGAGCGAGATGGGAGGCGCATGGTCTGGGGAAGGAATATGGAGGGGAGCGAGACGGGAGGCGCATGGGTGGGGACGGGGGTTGGGGAGGGAAGATGGAGGGGAGTGAGACGGTATGGGTGGGGATGGGGCTAGGGAGAGAAGATGGAGGGGAATGGGGACGGGGCTGGCGAGGGAAGATGGGAGGCACATGGTGGATGGGGACGGGGCTGGGGAGGATGGAGGGGAGCGAGACGGGAGGTGCATTGTGCATGGCATGGGTGTGGAGTTACGAGGACATGGTTGCACAAAAAGCATCATTGCAGGCTGCCGGGTCAGTGGAACGAAGGATGGGTGGGGGTGGTGCTGCTCCATGCTTCGCGGAAGCATGCTGGGAGGTGAGTGGAGCTGTGTTGCGGGGCTTATACGATGGTCTTGGGTGTCCAAAATGTGCACAATGCATGCGGCAGACAATGAAGTCGTGGCCGAAACGGCAGGATTGTTGCGTCGAGCACATGGTTGCACCACAAGCATCATTGCAGGCTGCTCCGGGTGCACAAGTAGAACGAAGCATGGGTCATGGGTGGGGGTAGTGCTGCTCCATGCTTCGCGGAAGCCCGTTGGGAGGTGAGTGGAGCTGTGTTGCGGGGGTGATACGATGGTGTTGGGTGTCCAAAATGTGCACAAGGCATGCGCCAGACAGTCAAGTCATGGCCGACGCCCTGATCATGCCAACGTCGATGCACGCCACCGGAAATCTATGCCAAAAAAAATAAACAGAAATATCATGGTTGCCACGAAGCCTGGAGGGGGCTGATGCTTCGTTTTGGCCTGCTAATGTGTGTTTGTTTATTTTTCCCGGGCTGCGCGCTTCTTTTTGCTTTTGTGTCCGCGGGCTCACCTTGTTTCAGCACGAAGGAGAATCTGAGTCCAAGCATGACGCTCTGACGATCTGAGAAGGTCTTTACAAGGGTCCAACCAGCGATTTATATAAGCCTGAACACCAGGTCGACCGAAGTCTTTTGAATCGAACGGAAGGCCCACCGGATTGAAGTTAAACAATTTTTTTTGCGGTCTTGTTCTACCACCACCCCAGAAGCTTCGTTGGTTGTATCCACCTATGGCAATGAATTTCAAATTCGAGCAAACGACAAAGGGCCACGCAAACGACGAAGCACTCCAACTGAATCAATCCTTCTGATGTTGGTCCCTCCATTTGAAGACGGTTGAAGGATGGTCTGAAAAGTGACGGCCATGGGACCATGGGTACAAAAAGCACAATGTTCAGGTTCCAAAACATTCAAACACACATGTCAGGTAGATCGTAATTTGACGTAATTTATGAGAACCAAAAAAATGTTCAATCAAGCAAAACAAACATCCCGACCCCCGAAGACTCAACTGTCTGCACGTCATATACGTTTGAAAAGGCTCCTGGTAGAGAAAACGGGCTGGACCCTCCAACGTATCACAGAAAATGGAACATGACATGACCCATTAAACAAACTATATACCAGCACCTTCCAACAGGTCACCGCCTGCCACTTTTAAGTCTGAGGTCCATTCCGTCTGGGTCCCCCTGCCCATTCCGGCGTGTTAGGTGCATTTCCAGCGCGGAGAGTAGCTCAGGACCAAGGGCAGCTGTCTCAGGCGCCTGTGCCAGAAAAAATGTTGAATTTCCATGAATTCCCTCCTTGATGTGCCACAATTTGGAACATTCATGAGAGGTACTTCCTATTTGTCGAAAAATGGATTGACTTTCTTGGATGTTCTACAACGTTCTTCCACAAAATTCAACCAGTTGGCCTGGCGTGGATAGTTCGCTACATGGTGGACTAGTCGGGCTGCAGGGTTTGACCCATCCCACATCTCCCTGAACCCGACTTCAAGTACTTCAGAAACTTTAGAAAATTGAACATGACCCTATAAAAACAGGTAGATCTGCACCCATCTTCTGGGGTACTGTGAGAATCCAGGTCCATCATCCCCCTTCTCCTTCACCTCCACGGGCAGTGTCGTCAGTGGCGCCGGCGGGCTTTCAGCTGCGCGGTTTGCCAGCCCGGCGATGGCCGCAGAAGCGGCGCACACCGCCGAGAGGTGGGACCTTGATCTTTTTTGGAGGCAAGGTGGAGGAAGGGGGTGAGCAGGGTGTCTTCTGATATATATATATATATATATACGCCAAGAGGCATCTCTGTGTTCTACCATATATATATATGTTTTTACAAGATTAATATATCGATTGATAGACAAATACATAACTTCGTACATCTACGTAAAACAGCTGGCCAAAACTGTTTGCACACCACCCCTAACATTGTGTTGAGCAAACTGTTTTCCGTAGGCCTTGACGTGTTTAAAACTTACCGGCTAATCACATCGTCTTGATGTTCCAATCACTAGTGATTAGAACCAAAGTTGCAACCTAATGATTCTTTAGCCCCAAGGGCCCAAGGGTTATTATTACTTCACTCATTGCAGTTTTTAATAAGGCTGCAGGAACTTGTTGGACACAGCCAAGGGTTTGGGGGCATGTCGTGCAAAATATTTTGAAATAGACATGATAGAAAGTCAGTCAGTATTCATTTTCTCTTGAAACTCTTCTTCACAGCAAGCTTGTCTAACTTGCTTGCCTTTCGAGCTGCCCTTGCTTCCGACATATTCGGCTTCCGACTGCGTTTGTTGCTCATTTCGAAGACGGCAAACGATGGATAATGTGAATCTCCGTCAAAGCGGCGTATTCTGACATCCAACGGTTGGAAAGCGATCGCGCCATGACGGGCAAGTTTAACAGAACGAAAAGAAGACCACGGACACATGATCCACCCCACGCAGTCTCCATCTACAGTTCCTAGCAGCTCAATAGGAACTCTCTCTTGAAACTGAAGTTTATCAAGCAGCGCGATCATAGCTCTGTGATATGGAGACATGTCCGCTTTGCGGGGGAACATGCTTTGATTCATGTCGACGCCTATCAAGTCAACTTTGAAATTTGCAGCAGAGCGAACCCAACATCAGGTAACTTGGCCACGTCGTTGTTGACGTGAGCACTTCCCAGGGTAACTGTTTTGACTTTCCAATCCTCTGGTGCCTTGAAGATCAACTGAACAAACGTAGCGCACAGCAACCAATGGCATTTAATTGTCATCAGCTTGAAATGTTCACGCACCAGTGTGCCAGAATCCAAGAATTCCTTGGCTACAAAAACCCAAGCAGTGTTCCGAGGATTGTTTGCCTTGAAGACTTGACGTCCATGCCGTTGCAGTTGAGCGATCATTTCTTCTGAGCCTTCTTGAGTAGCTCCACACACGAAGGATTTGCTACATCTTGCAGCGCCTGCGTTCCACGACACCATGGACAACGTATGTTGCAAAGCTTTGGCACCGCTCAACGAGGCTTGCCCGTGGTGAAGAACAAGCGCGCTTTCGTTTGGCACCCATGGTCTCCACGGATACCTCGCAGCATCTCCACTGCAACATTTGGGTGAAAGTTGCCTGCTAGCGCTGTGCTCACAGTTGGCGCATGCAATCCACCAAAGCAACCACCTGCGTTTGGAGTCTGCTCTGAAACGTCTGCGCCTGCACTGCTCTGCTTCTTGGCAGCAACTGCAGCTGTGTCCAAAAATCCCAAGCTCCATGAGGAAATCATAGATTTCATCAAACAGAAGAAGTGTGCTGAACCATGTTCTTCCTTGAAGGGGCGCTGCAGCAATGCTGGCTTTCACGTCTTCAGGATTATTCTGCACAAAGTTGCAGTCTCCACTGCACCCGCCCATGTAGGCGACAGACCAAATGCCTAGCTTACAGGTTGTAGCCGGGGCACCTCCGGCGCTGGCGCAGGAAGAGTTTCTTCCTGGGCCCATTCTCAGTGATGGTGGCAACAGACTTCGGAAGGCTTGCCACGGTTGCAGCCTAGCAAGCGAAACATATGGTGAAATAAACGTTCACGAGAAGATAGTTAAGCCAAGCTGAAAAGACGGAAATTTATGACATACTTGAACTTTTTGAAAAATATATATATATATAAGAGAGTTTTGAACCATGTAAAATTATTGGAATATTTGGAATGATTAAAGTATAACAAATATTTGATATATTTTAAAGATTGGAAAAAGGAATACTTGGAATAATTGAAATATGTTTGACATATTGTTATAAAAAGAATTACTTGACATGATTGAAATAATTGAAAGATTGTTTCTTGATTTTTTGAAATATTAAGACATGTCGCTAGTTGAAATTTTGGAAGTGTTTGAAATATTTGACATCTAATTGACATAAATGATTCAAACAATTGAAATGTTTGACATATTATATTGAAAAATATTAACTATTGAACTGTTTGAAAAGTTTGAAGTGTTTGAAATATGTGTAAAAGTAAAAGGAAGATCATATATATATATATACCCTATAGCCTTGAAATTGTGTCTTGAAACGCTGGGCACGCAAGAAAGGATTTAACAAGCGTGGTGGAAGACCCCATGCTATCCTAAGGATGGCTCGATTCAGATTGTTTAGCTTGAAGTGGCGGATTCCGGAGTTGAATTCGAACCGGCGTCGTTTCTTCAAACGTTGAAAGTGAACCATCGAACGTGCAAAGAAAACCGTTGGAGTTTCATGGAGTTGTGTGTCCAGTCAAACTTAGTATTTACGGAAATGCTAAGTTAAACTTGGTATCATATAAGTTAAAATTCGATGTGGGAAGTTGAGGGTATACATTGTGAGCATATCTAATTCCGAGTCCCCCTCCCCTGCAACCTGATGCTCCTCCAATTGAAAGCACGACGGATCACCAAGACAATCAGGCGGAGAGAAACCTTCTACAAAGCGAAAACCATACCTGGCCCCCAAGCGATTTTTTCCTGGAAAAGAAGGGTTCACCGCACTTTCTGCCTCTTCTTGTTGAGTGAGGAACCCAATTCACAAAAGAGGTTACCTTTCGCCAATCGGATCACGCGGACACGACAGGACTCCAGTAGAACTGCAAATACGGGTGGTATTGGGGTGGTGAATTGATCAGCATCGATGGGTGCCTAGATCTTCCAACCGTGCGACAGCCCTGGCCCTGGCTGGTAGACGGGTTTGGTTGGTTGGAACATTTGAGCTACACACCCATATGGCTGTGGTTCCCACCTATAGCAATAAGAACCTGTTAAATCTTCATACCCCAAGGAACATATGATCTTCCTGGAAGAAACAGATTGTGTTTTTCAGCATGGTTGGAAACTTGATGTTTTAGCCAACACTGGTTTGTGGGATTTTTTTTTTTAACGGCGGGGTTCTACGGGTTTTCTATATTGGGTTCTTAGCCAAAACAAACTGTGTTCAATCAACACCGTGTCTGGTTGAAGACATGTAATAATGTCAGCCAAATGAGCTGCAACACAATGTGTTCCAAACAAGATGGAACCCACGAACCCGAATGCAAACACGCACTCGAAAAAAAAACACCCAAATAATTTTCAACACTCTTGTAGGAGACTCTCTTGTAGGACACTCTTGTAGGACACTCTTGTGGGCCACTCTTGTGGGACACTCTTGCGGGGCACTCTTGGGGAACACTCTTGTAGGACTCTCTTGTAAAACACTCTTATATTATGACGCTCTTGTGAGACGTTTTTGCGGAACACTCTTGTAGGACACTCTTGTGGGACATCCTTGCAGGGCACTCTTGTAGGACACTCTTCTAGGATACTTTTGTGGGGCACTCTTGTCGGACACTCTCGTCGGACTTTCTTGTGGGACACTCTTGCGGGACAATCTTGCGGGACACTCTTGTTTGTCACTCTTGTGGGACACTCTTGTATGACACTCACTCTTGCGGGCACTCTTGCAGAACACTCTTGTAGGACACTCTTGCGGGACACTCTTGTGGGGACACTCTCGGAGGACACTTCTGTCGGACGCTCTTGTGGGGCACTTTGGCGGAGAACTCTTGTAGGACTCTCTTGTGGGACACTCTTAGTCTTGTGGGACGCTCTTGCGGAACACTCTTGTGGGACATCCTTGCAGGACACTCTGGTGGGACACTCTTGTAGGAAACTTTTGTGGGGCACTCTTGTCGGGAATTCTTGTGACATTCTTGCGGGACACCCTTGTGGGACACTCTTGTTTGTCACTCTTATGGGACACTCTTGTATGACACTCACTCTTGCGCGGCGCTCTTGCGGAACACTCTTGTAGGACACTCTTGAGAAACACTCTTGTACACTCTTGTGGGACACTCTCATAGGACACTCTTGTCGGACACTCTTGTGGAACACTCTCGTGGAACACTCTTCTAGGACACTCTTGTGGGACAGTCTAGTATGGCATTCTTGTGGGACACTCTTGTAGGGCACTTTTGTCGGACACTCTTGCGGGACACTCTTGTAGGACACTCTTGCCGGACACTCTTGTGGGGCACTTTTGTAGGACACTCTTGATCACTCTTGTGGGACACTCTTGTCGGACACTCTCGTGGGACACTCTTGCGGAACTTGTAGGACACTCTTGTTGGACATTCTTGTGGGGCACTCTTGTGGGACACTCTTGCAGGACACACTTGTAGGACACTCTTGCGAAACAGTCTTGTAGGATACTTGTTGGGCACTCTTGTGTGACACCCTTGTGGGACACTCTCATAGGAACACTCTCGTGGGACACTCTTGTGGGACACTCTTGTAGAACACTTTTGTCGGACACTCTGGTGGGACACTCTTGTCGGACACTCTTGTAGGACACTCTTGTGGCGTACTCTTGTAGGACACTCTTGTGGGGGCCTACTAAAGTCTCCAAAAGTCAACCGTCACGTCTCCAGAATGAGCGTTTCGTACGGGACTTCCTCAAAAACTCATACTTCGAGTCTTACAATCAAGCGTTTCGTCCGAGACTTCCTCCAAAAGTCACGCGTCAAGTCTCCAAAACAGGAAGCCCCATCGGAGCACACACACACATAAAGAAACCCTGCCAAACAGTTTCGCGATTTCAGTCCCTCCACACAACGCCCGCGCACACGCCAATCCCAATGTCACAGCGACATTCACCTCCACCACAACTCGCAACCTGCGCCTGCCACGAAAATCGCATTTCCACACCTCAAAACCCGCACAAAGTACTGCGCCTGCCACGAAAAGTGACAATATATCCCCCTTCGGATCCGGCCTGGAACCCGGGCTGTTCTATTTTTTAGGAACCCAGGCTTGAGGGTAAATAGATGTAACTAAAAAATCAAAAACGCTGGAGCCACAAAGCCTCAAGAATCAATGGAAAGCATGCTTTTTTAAAGACTGACCATGAAAAATCTCAAAATTCTACAGAATCAGTGCACCCGGGTTCCAGTCGAATTTTCCACTTTAGTGCTGGATAATGGGGGCGTCAACTCTTGCTTGACAAATGCACAGTGAATCATATTCAATCCAACTGCTTTTGGGCCAACGGTTCCAAACATTTTGCCTAACATCTGGGTGGTTGTGTATTCCATCTACGTTCAGTTCATCTACGTTCCAAATGTTTTAATGTGAATCATAATCATCTTTGCATATACATGGAATGACCTCTGCTTCTCTGTGTTGAGCCATTTCTGTCATTTTCAACACAGATGTTGCAGATCAAGAGTCACACTCAATATTGCTCAAAAACCTCTTCTCCAAAAAAATCAGGGTCCACCTATCCACCTATAAAGAATTCCAACCCCCAAGTTCCTGGTGGTCCATTGCACCCTGTTTCTCTTACTGATTTCATTCTTTAAGACAACCCGGGCTGTCCTATTTTTGAAATGAAGTTTGCGTTCTTGTTGCTCTAGGCATCAGTCATGTGATGTCTGAACCTGGAGTCTATACTTACCTGTTTTTACAGGGTCATGTATCATTTTCTGTACTTGAAGTCGGTCCATGAAGATGTTGTGCAAGCAAGTTGCCAGGCAGAAAGGTCCACACCGCTCGAAATCAAGCGCACATGAGGCTGAAATTTGGAGTCCAGCTGCACCTGGCAACTGTCAGGCATGCTGAGACTGTCTTGGTCCGTCTCCAAACAATCCTTGAGACTCTATGACTGACGTATTGATCTATCTGGACCTGCCTGGAGTGAACTCCGCAGTGTAGAGGTTTCCATTCATGACCCCGAACGGAAGGTGCTGGTACATGATCTCACGGGGTGGCAACCACCTGGGGTCTTGTTTGATCCACATGGAGCGTCGATCCGATTCTCAGCCTCAGCCCAGACTCCGCAACGCCAAGCTCTCCCGTCCGTCTACCTGCAACTGTCCGGGTTTGGAGCGATAGGCCTTGACTCTGAAGAATCCGGATCTGAACGAATTTCAGAGCGCTTAAGGGTGGCCGCGGGGACTGCAAAACCATGCAAAACCCATGCAAAACCGGAGCGCTCGGCGGGGCGTGAAGACTCTTTCATACTCTTTCCTGATGATTGACCCCCATTCACGGATCGGCCAAAACCAGGTTCATGACCCCCACATTTCCGGACGTTTCCACACATTTCCTTAAGCCTCAGCCGCTGATGTTTATCGCGGCGCCTCGAAGAGATGGCTCCTCTCGAGCAGCACCTGGGCGATGGCGCCTCGCTACTCGGTCCGAATTTGATGCGTCGGCGGATTTCGAGCCGCCCCGAAGTCCTGAAGTCGGAGATGCAACATGACGAGATGCAAAGAACACAAACTTGGATGAAGGTGAAGCTTGATTTCATTAGTTGCATTTTAGATCTCAAGGGAAGCCTTGGTCCACTTCGTTTCTTCTTTGTCGAAGAAAGAATTCACCCCACACAAAGCTTCAAGGCGGGCATGGACTGGGTAGGATAATTGCATGGGCTCCACTTACGGTAGAGTCGAGGATCTCTTTGGTCAACGTTGTCTAGACTAACGGAATCTCGATAGTGGGACTGGGGTACATCCTATCTTCAGTTGTTGATGATCCAAACATTACTGTATCATACATGTATCCAGACGCATCCATGTACCTGAACTTTCACAGGTGTGTTCAATGGAGATCCACAGATAGTGTGGGGTAGTCCATTGGAGACCACTTGGAATCCTGGACGGTGCTGGTATGGAATAGTTATACACGATACAATCCCCATTGGCTCCCCTGCAACCTTCCGTTCGACAGGTTGACCTGGCTATCTTAGATGTCAAATGTTTATTTGGTTCAATTGCTTGGGTGCTTGGGTTCAATTGTGCGCCTACCAGACTTCTGTTCACAACTTCAAGATCTATCATGTGGCTGGACCCAGCTGAGAAAGACTTGAGAGGAGGGAGACACGAAAGGTAGGACAGCGGGAAGAGAAGAGAGTGCGAGAGGCAGGAAGAAAAAGGCAAGAGTCGACATGGTGATGCATGAGAGCTCTGAGGACCGCGTGAAGAGACTCACGAAGACGTTCCCCAAAAGAGAATAGACGTGGTTCACAAAACAAACTCTAGGTATGTATCCCCTCGGGGAAC